GGGGAGGGTGCGGGGGGGAGGCCTGGAAGACAGGCCTGTGCCCAGATCAGGAAGGGCGTCGCAGGCCAGGGGCGCTGGAGGCGTGAGGAGGGCTACGTGCTGGGAAGCTGGCACAGGGCTGGCTGGAGCCTGGGCAGGAGAGGGCAGAAAAGCAGTTAAAGTACCAGGATAATCCCAGTGCGAGACGAGGAGGACTTCATTGCCCACTGGCCGTGGGAATGGGGGGCGGGGTGCTCCTGGGGGAGATGCTTTTCGGAGGAAGGACCAATGGGCCTAGACTGGGTATGAGGCACGAGTGGCAGGGCGCAGGCCAAGTTGATTGTCCAGGTCCCAGCTTCGGTGGAGGCCTGTACGGTGCCCAGTGTGGTGTCAAAATACACAGCAATCAGCGGGGTAAGGGCCTCGACAGTCAGGGCTGATTCCTCCACCCTGTGGGCGCTGGAGGCGCCTGCCCATGGTCACCCTTCAGGCAGTTGCCTTGTGGGGACATGCTGGGAGTCCTGCAAAGGACTGGGTGACAGAGCAGTGGAGGGGCACTGGGAGCCTCGGGGAGTGAATATTTACTAACTGGATGTAAGAATTTCGTTGTATTAACAAGTATGTTGAGCCAGCATGAGCCGTGCCCCTGGGGTTCATAGCAGCTGCAACTCCGATGTTCTTTGTCACCGGTGCCCAGTTCATTCCTGAATCTGCTCGCTTCAATGTCTCCACGGGGAACACGCAGGCTGCCCTGGCTACGCTGCAACACATCGCCAGGATGAACCGTTCCGACATGCCCGAGGGACAGCTGGTGGAGCCCATCCTGGTGAGTGCCCAGAGGGCGGGCTTCACCCGCGGTGGGGGCCACCAGAAATCCCCTTCGTCGTGGACGGCTAGAGGGAAGGGGCCTTAGCTCTCTAGTTTTGCCCCTGGATGGCCTAGGGAGCCTGGTCAGTTACCTACCTTCACTTTCCTCATCAATAAAATGGGCATAAGACCCCACCTTGCCCAGCTAGTCACAGGATTGGCATCATTGTTTATAGGTGAGAGATTGTTTTCTAACTTAATTTTCTTATACTGGCCTTGTCTTATTTTGACATCAAAGTTATAAACCTCATTAAATGATTTTTAAAAAACAAAATTTGGCATTTAAAATTCTCATGGTTCCAGGGCTCTCAGGGAAATCTGCTTTCATTTCACACACCAGCCCAGACACCCGCTTCACCCACCTGCAGGCGGCTCAGTCACAGGCCCCTGGAGGAGTTGACCAAAGTCACTTTCCTTACCTGTCTCTCGACATCTCAACAGTAGTATCTGCAAGAGAGGAATGAACCTCTTTTGAGTGTTTACTAAAACTCACCTATAAAGCAGTTTACACCTAGTATTTATTTTGAGGTGAGTGGCGGGGGAAATTAGGGGGTGTTAGAAGGAGTTTTTAAAACCGTTTTAAATTTACCTAAGGGTTAGAGTCTACTTATGTTTAACACTTTTAATTGAGTCAATTTGGGTAATACATGTATTTTAAAAACTGTCTGACTCATCTAGGTTTTCAAATTGATAGAAATTGTTCCTAGTGTCTTGTGAGAAATCTGTGTGAGATTTGTTTTTTCATTTTTAAATATCATTTCTTTGTGCCTTTCTCGTTTTTCTTGGTCTGTCTTAGTAGAGGTTTGTCTGTTTCATTAAACCTCAAAGAACAAGATTGTTTTTCAGTTGTGTTCTCTTTATTGATTTTTTTGGTGGTCTTATCAACTTCTCCTCATTGTGTTTTCTTCCTTGGCTTGTGTGTTCTCCTAACCTCTGGTTCTTGAGACCAGTACTTAGTTTATTTATTTCCAGTCCTTCTTATTTTAATAAATCATTAAGCTGCATTCAGCAAGTTTTCTTACAGAGTGATTTTATTTTTATTTCTATTTTGTAACTGTTACCAGCTTCTCTTTAACCAGTGAGTTATCTGTTAATAATCTTTATTCTTTGTTTTGAATTTAATTGCATTTTTTTTGGTCAGAAGATGTCTTCAGTTATTTGGGATTTATTGAGACTTTCCTTTTGTCCCCTACCTAGTGACTTTTTATTAATGTTCCGAGTGTCCTTGAAAAGATTGTGTTCTTAAATTAAATTTAAAAAAAAGAAAAAAATCCCGAGGTACTATTTGAAGAGTTGGTATTAATAGGTATTAATCTACTGACTGTGTATTACTCAGGCAGAGAGATAACACCCACCTTGGGGATGGGGATGGGTTGGGGTAGAACCAAGACTTAGTGCACTAGGGATGTGGGGAAGATATGGCTGACCTGCCTGTATTCACTTATCTACAAATATTTATGAAAGCCTGTTATGTGACATGCATTATCTAGCTCTTGGGATACAAAAATAAATACAATACATGTTTTTCCTGTCCCTAACAGAAGAAAATGTGTGTTCTCATTGGATTTAATTATTTATATTTATATTATTTACATTTGCATTTACATTTATATTATTTATATTTATATTTACATTTATATTTATATTTTATATTTACATATATATTTATATTTAATTGTATCATATAAATATATGATACTTGGTCTAGATTTTGCCTGCTTAACAGTTTCCCAGTAAGGTGATGGCTTTGTTCATTGCTACTTATAGGGGAGGCATTTCCTGCATATATTTTGAGGCTCTATTGTTGCATCCTAGTATATGACTGGCTTATTCTGTATGTGGGTGAATCTTATTATTTGAAGTATTTCTTTATCCCTATATTGCTTCGGGCCTCAGATTCTGTTTTCTTTCACATTCACATATCCACACTGGCTTTGGTTAATATTTTCCTGGTGTATCTTTTTCCAGCCCTTTCCGATAACCTTCTATACTGCTGTGCTTTAAATGTATCTCTTGTAAATATATAGCTGATGCTTATTTTTTTTTTTTTTTTACTCAGTTAATAATGAGTTCAATCCGTTTAGATGTATGGTGATCGCTGATGTATTTGGATTTGCTTCTGTTATTTTAAATTTCCTCTTAACTGTGTCTTTCCTTTTCTGCTTTCTTTATCTTTTCCCCACCTCTATATTTCCTTCTACTGGCTTGGGATTTATGTACTCTGTTTCTTTTATCATTACAGGTAGCCCTTAACTATTGAAAAAGTATACCTAGAATATCTAATGTTATTTGGTAATTTCATCTGCCTTCTGATCAATATCAGGACCTTAAAAGATGCTAATTCTGATCCGCCCCAGTCTCATCCAAATCCCTTTTGTCTGGTATTTTAGTTTCACTTTGTTCATAAGTTTCCCTAACTTAGACGTTATTTTTAAGGCTGTATTTAGATTTATTAATGTTTTTACTATTGTCTTTTTTTATTGGTGTCTAACTTATTTTTTACAGCAACATTCATGTATCCCTCTCCTCTCTATTGGGTTAATTTGGTTTCATACTTAATTAGATAATATTGATCTGTCCGGGTTTAACTGGTATAAGAAACATAGATCAGATCTGCTTTGTCACATCCGCCTGGCTCACCAGTTGCACTCATATGTTTTTATTGAATAATCCATCCCTTATATATTTGAATCTATTTTTATTTTTTTAAAAGAATCCTCACCCAAGGATATGTTTTTCATTGATTCTAGAGAGAAAGGAAGGGAGAGGGAGAGAGGGAGGGAGGGAGGAGGGAAAGAGAGAGAAAGAGACAGAGAGAGAGAAACATCCATACGAGAGAGAAACACTGGTCAGTTGCCTCCTATTCGTGCCCTGGCTGGGGACTGAACCCACAGCCTGAGTATGTGCCCTGACTGGGGATTGAACCCACAGCCTGAGTATGTGCCCTGACTGGGGATTGAACCCACAGCCTGAGTATGTGCCCTGACTGGGAATTGAACCCGTGACCTTTCGGTCCACAGAACCAGTTGAGCCACACCAGCCAGGGCTTAAATTTTCTGTTGTGTTCTAATGATACATTTGTAGATTCAAATATATATGGGGGCTTATTATATACTAAACAAGGCATTTTATATTGTTGGGGGAAGGACACAGGTTAATTGTTGGTCCAATATGTCATGGTTTAATTACAGGATGTTGCAGTACATTCTTCCTGTCTAGGGCGGGTACCCCCTGTCAAAGTTCTTTTTCAGAATTTCCCAAGCGATTTTTCTCAGTCCTGTTTTTCTAGACCAACTTTGAAGTCACTTTTTCAAGATCTCCCCACCCTCCCCACCAAAAAAAACCCTGTGAGAGTTTAATTGGGACTGTGTTGAAGTTATGGGTTAATACAGAGAGACTACTGAGTATTTATATTATAATATCGAATATTCCTGGTCAGATACAAGTATATTTTCCTGCTTAGTCAGGCCTTTTCATATTCCTCAGCTGGATTTTATAGCTATTTATATAAATCTGGCACATCTTTTATAAAATTTATTCCTATCTCCTTTATGTTTTCAAAAATGACTTTTTAAATGGAGTTTTAAAAATTATTACTTTTCTATCTGGTTCACCTCTTTTAATTTCTGTGCGCAGGGCTCTTTTATTTTTGCAGTTGTCCTCTGAGATATTTTTCCCAGCTTCGTAACCCTCCTGTCAGTAGTACATGACAGTTTCTTGCTTGCTGAGTGGCACCGTGTTAATAGAATTCCTTGCGAACCTGTTGAAGAAAACATTTCTCCGGGGAACAGCAAGAAGCGTCTTTAACACACGAGGACCGGGCACATCTGGGGCTGTGCGCGGCCCCACAAGCTCCCGGACTCAGCTGTGCCTCAGCGTTCAGCCCTCCTCTCGGGCCACATACTGTCCTANGACGGGCTGCCGGACTCAGCTGTGCCTCAGCGTTCAGCCCTCCTCTCGGGCCACATACTGTCCTAGCAGCTTTCAAGGACGTGACAGAGCATTGTTAACTATGGTCACCATGCTGTATATTAAATCCCAGAACTTATGCACCTTCTAGCTGGAAGTTTGTGCACTTTGACTGACATCTGTTTATTTCCTTCACTCCCCAGCCCCTGGTAACCACCATTCCACTCTCTGTTTCTACAGGTTTGGGTTTTTTAAAAATTCCATATTTAAGTGAGATCATATAGTCTTTGTCTGACTTATTTCACTTAACATAATTGCCCTCGAGGTCCATCTATGTTGTCACAAATGGCAGGTTTTCCTTCTTTCTCATGGCTGGATAATATCCCATTGTTTTATATATATGTTATTGCGAGTAGTGCGGCAATGAACATGGGAGTGTGGATATCTTTTTCAGATCCAGTCTTTATTTCCTTTGAATATATTCCCAGAAGTGGGNAAGGTCCATCTATGTTGTCACAAATGGCAGGTTTTCCTTCTTTCTCATGGTTGGATAATATCCCATTGTTTTATATATATGTTGTTGCGAGTAGTGCGGCAATGAACATGGGAGTGCGGATACCTTTTTCAGATCCAGTCTTTATTTCCTTTGAATATATTCCCAGAAGTGGGATTGCTGGGTCATATGGTAGTTTTATTTTTAACGTTTTGAGGAACCCCCAGTCTGTTTTCCATGGTGGCTGCACCAGGTTATTGGGGATCCTGTTCTTTACCCAGATCTTGCTCTGTATCTAATGGGAGAGGGGATCCAGAGCAGCAACAGCTCTTTGAACCCCCCTCCACCAAGATCTTAGTATATTGGGGATCATGTGGCCACAGAAGGTCAGGTGGTGTCCAGATGTGCAGTTCTGACGTGTCCTACGCTCAAGTGAGAGAGAGATGGGCCAGTCCGATTGGTTTCCCAGGACATCATTGATGACAAAAGCACTGTAATCTCCCTGTCCCCTGGCCTGCTGCTGAACACTTTACTGTGAGACAGTGTGTGCTCACTAATAATGCAAAAACTGTGAGGATTAAAGATCCCCCCAAACCCCACTCACAATTGCATTTTGGTAAGGCCTTCTCATTTTTCTTTGTGGAGTGTTACTGCTAATTTATTACACGTGCCTCAAAACCTAACTGTGAAACAACAAACCCAAGCTTTCTTCTAAAGGGTTAAGGATGATTCTGTTCTTCTCATTTATTTTCTGAATTTTGGAAATAAGCTCTCGTGGTTCAGAGGACAGGAAGCTACGACAAGGCAGTGTCAGCTGTCTCCTGCCTTCCCACCAAGATACTGACCATCGCATCTCATGACCCAAAGCGTGGTGGGAAGACTAATTAGTTGCCAGGCAACTGTGGTTAAATCAAGGGAGCTAATCTGCTTGGTAGAGACTGGCACACGATGGTGAGGTGGCTATGAAATTTTGATTGTCAATAGTATAAAAAGTAATTGGCGGCAAAGTGAAAAATACTTGGCAGGGGCAGTTCACTCAAAACCACGACAGCTGTGTGACCACGAGGCCCCAACTGCAACCGCTTTCGGGGTGGGCTTCCGAAGTGGGGCGGAGGGGTCGCCCCAGGACTGAAGAGCTCCGAGGCCCAGTTCGCTCCTCTCCCTTCCCATAGACAGAGGGGCTCAAACCACGGAGAGGTGCTTTCTCAGTGTCCTGGAGGCCAGGAGTCTAAGCTCCAGGTGTCGCAGAGTTGGCTTCTTCTGAGGCCCCTCTCCTCGGCTTGTGCATGGCCGTCTCCTCGTATCTTCACTTCATCTGCCCGCTGTCTGTCTGTCTGTGTCCTAATCTCTTTTTGTAGAAACATCAGGCATATTGGATACGGTCCACCCAAATGACCTCATTCTAACTTAATTACCTCTTTAAGGCCTTATGTCCAAATACAGTCACATCCTGGAGGCCACAACTTCAACCTGTGCGTTTTGGGGAGACAGTTCCCATAACAGCCGGCCATCCCCCCAACCCCCTGATACCCTTTCTTCCTCCTCTCCCTTCCTTCTGCCTGCCTCTGTCGCCTCCAGCTTGCAGCCCGCCCGGCATGCCCCTTAAATGATCTTGTCCGCAGTCATCTGTGGCGAGGCTCTGTGGCTACAGGCGTGCAAGCAGGAGACCCTGCGTTTTGCAGCCTTTTGCAACCTGGTTAGACAGACAGACTCACCTGGGAAAGAATCGATCCCAGCAGAGGCCAGACGCCGAGAAGCAGGCGGCCGTGCAGGCGGTGGAGACCGTGAGGCGCGCAGGCCGCCTTCGGGCAGACGTGAGGCACAGACTGAGCAAGGAAAGGGGAGGGAGGAGGCGGCCAGAGGCAGCTGAGACCGGGGGCAGGGATGTGCAGTGGGTTTGGCCACTCTGCTGCCGTCGGAAGCCACGCAGAGGAGCCTGGGCAGGATGCTGTGGGCAGTGGAGCCTCTGCAGCTTTGAGATGAAAGGCCTCGGGGACTGTTTGAGGAAGGGCCACACCATGGAAGAGGTAAATGAGTCCACCCATTTGGACTGTACCCAAAGGTTCAGCACCAACTAACTTACTAGGACAAAATGTATGATTAATTGGGATTCACTACAGATTCAGCTTTCTGCATCTCCAGTGAACTTAGGGAGGTGAGGGACCATAGTCACCTCTAAACCTAAGGGGACATAGCAGAGAGTTAGATGGCCAGTACTCAGGACTGGTGCTCTGTGGACCTGGACTCCTGGCTGGCTCTGCCTTCAAACAGCTGTGTGACCTTGGGCAAGTTACTTAACCTCTCTGGGCCACATATTCTGTGTTAGACAGTGGGAGGTTAGGACTCGATCAGAGGTTTCCATTGATGAGTAACCAGGGCCCCAATATGCAAAGCTGGTGAAAGTGAAGTGTCAGTTGCTTCAGTCCACCCACAATGACCTCCAGGTTCCTGGAGCAAAAGGCCTCTAAATTCCTTCAAGCTCTCTCTGTGAGAACAAAACCCTGGGCTCCCAGACCACACTCGTCTCTCTTAAGGGGTCCTGTGATCTCAGGTCTATTTGTGAGAGAGGAGTTAATGGTTTTCAGCTGAGAACCCCCAAAGCTTTCCTAGCTTTACATAAAATCCATTACTGTCAATAATATAGAACTCATCCTTTATTTATTTTTTTGGTAATTTTTATTTATTTAGAGATTTTAGAGAGGGGGGAGGGAGGAGAGAGAGAGAGAGAGCAATATCAATTTGTTGTTCCACTTAGGCACTCACTGGTTGCTTCTTGCATGTGCCCGGACTGGAGATCGAAACCACAACCTTGGCGTATCAGGATTACGCTCTAACCAACTGAGCTACCTGGCCAGAGCTCCATCCTTAGTTATTTTTATCCAAAAGTATTTACTAGGTACTGACTGTGGATAAGAACTTTTGCTAATTACCTTAAAGACACAAAAAGAAATTGGGTGTTCTGTCTTCTTTTCAAGTTTATGACTTTTTTTTTCCTTACAAAAGCCTCACACTCTTTTTAAATGTTAGGTTTTTCATTTTAATATTCTTATGAAAAGAATCTCCCATGAGTTTACAGTGGTTTTCATGTATCTTCCTGTTCTCCACCATACCCTCACCGGCACCCGGGAGCAGAGGGCGAGTGAAAGGGTTAGAATCACAAACTCAATGACTTTGGGTACTTGCCCATGACTGGCTGGGATGAATGTGTTAAAAATGATCATGGGTTTGGGTGGGGTGTACTCAGCACAGTGGTTATCTCTCCTCCCCACATCCTATATTGTCCTCATTTTTTGATATTTTATTAATATTTAATCTCTAAAATATTAGAGACATCTTTGTTTGGCCTTAACCCACTAAATCTATTTTTGTCTCCCTCTTTTCATTACCGCAGGAAAAAAGAGGAAGGTTTGCAGACCTATTGGATGCTAAATATTTACGGACCACATTACAGATCTGGGTCATATGGTAAGAATGTAGTTATTTCAGAAAAAGAAAAATGCAGTTATTTCAAAATGAGTTTTAAAGAAAGAAGTATCTGGAGAAAGCCTACTAAAGTAAATCCACTCTGAATGCTAGTGGGGAGAAAAACACCCCAGCAACCTCTTATCTTTCTACTAACACCACTAACCAAAGAAATATGTAAAATAACAATTTTTAAAAAAGGAGAGAAAGAAAAGAATCCTAATTGTCTACAAACAGTTTTTTATTTTTCATCTGAACGTAGGAGCTCACTTTCTAACCCTCTGAGGTCTGGTTCACCATTACAAGTCCACCTAAAGGGTTAAAATTAAAGACTGACTGTACCAAGTGTTGGGAAGGGTATAGAGTAACCGGAACTGTTACATACACTGCTGATCAGAATTCAAGTTAGTTCAGCCACTTTGGAAAACTGTTGGGAGATATCTATGACAGTTGAAAATATGCAATTCTGCTCCTGGGCTTCTACCCAACAGAAATGCATACATACGTTTACCAAAAGACATTTACATGAACGTCCATAGCATTATTTTATTTGTAACAGCCCCAAACTACAAACAACCCAAATGTCCATCAACAGTATAATTGATAAATTGTGTTGCAGTCATAAAATGGAATACTATACAATAAATGAGATGAGAAAACTAGTAGTCGACACTTGACATAGCTAAATCTTATAAAGATAATAATGAGCGAAGGGAGCCAGACACACAAAATACACATTATGTGATTCCATTTACATAAAGATAGAAAATAGGCCAAACTCATCTTTAGTGTTTGAGTTCAGGAAAGTGGTGGTCCATCTGCCTTCTTCAGATATAATCATTATTAATAGGTTGGTATGTCTCCCCTTCAGGCTTTTTAATTTTTAAAATACCGTTAATATTTGGGAATTGAACAAATCAAAGCTACTTTAATAACAAGGGGGGGGCATTTTGCTTGTTTTCTTTTTAAATATCTTGTTAGGAAAATTTCCAAATGCACATGTAGGTAGAGAGGATGCGTGACGAACTCGAGTTCGCTCCTCACCCAGATCTGACGGTCATGGATATTCAGCTACATTTTCCCTGTGCTGAATTATTTTCGAGCAAACCCCAGGCTTCTGACATTTCATCCCCAGATACTTCATTAAGAGTCTCAACTACTTGAGGACATTTTCTTAGATGACTCCAGTCCTCTGATCACACTGACAAGAACCATCACCTTAATATCATCCAATACTCAGAACATATGTGATTTCCCCTGATCGTCCCCATATGGCTTCTACAGCCTTTTCTGCAAAACAGAAGGACACAAGGGGGCTCTGGGGAGGCTATTTTTTTTCTTGACTTTGATATATGAACTTTTCTGGATGTTATTTTTCTATCTCATCAAAGTCATCTATTAAAAGATGGGAATAAAATAGAAAGCAAATACAAAAGCCTTCCGTGGCTCTCCTGGCCTGCTAAAGGCCCTTTGGGAGAGGCAGGATTCTAAAGTGACCCCAGGATGACCCCAACTCCTGGTGACTCCACCAAGCGCTAATTAGATGCTAATGTGAAGGGACTGCGTAGATGTAATTAGGATCAGGGGCCTTAAAATGGGGAGAGGGTCCTGGATTCGGCAGGTGGGCCCCATTGAATCACTTGAGTCCTTAAAAGTAGAGAAACGGCCCCAGCTGGGATCAGAGAGCTGGGAGAGAGAAAACATGAGGACCTCAGAGCGTGAGAGGGACTTGTCCCTGGGCTGCTGGCTTTGAAGACAAGGACCGAGGGAAGCAGGTAGAAGCTGAGGACACTGGTCACCAGCCAGCAAGGAAACGAGGTGTGTTCTGCGGCCGCATGGGGCTCAGCTCTGCCCACCACCCGGGTGAGCTTGGAGAATGGGTCCTTCCCCCCAGAGAGGCCCTGCCCACACCTTCCCTTCTGCCCGAGATCCGGAGCAGAGGAGTCCGCCAGCCCCACACAGCTTTCACCTCCAGAACTGTGAGATACGAACCGTGTGACGTTTTAAGCCACAAAGTCTGTGCCAACTTGTTACAGCAGCGACGGAAAATGAATCCGGGCTTCAAACTCCTTCACCTGGCCTGTGGGGTCCTCCTAACCCGGCCCCTCCTGCTCTTGCAAATCGGTTTCCCACTGTGTGGCCTCCAGTCCCCCCAGATATGTGAGCCCA